GGGCCGCGCGAGGAGACTCTTCCTGTCCCATGAGATGTCACTCCAGGCGAGGCCCTGCCAGTCTGGACAGGAGCCCTAAGCAAGCTGGGTCAAGGCTAACAGAGCACATGCTTCTGGGGCATCTCCAGGAGCCCGGACTCAGGCCAATCCCCATCCAGGGCGGCCGGCCCCAAACCAGGGATAGATGATTCGTTTTTAAAAAGGTGCTGTCAGGAGCAGCTGGCATCTGTTAGGCTGGATCTGCGGCCAAGCACAAGCTAAGCACTTCGCTTGTGTGTTCTCAGGGAATACTTCAAAAATCCCTGCAGAAAACTTATTTTTCGCTTTTTCCACAAGGTGGGGGAACCGAGGCCTAGCTCAACCAGGGCATCACCTGGGCAGGAAATAGTGTGCAGGCATTTGGTTTTCCCATTCAGGACCCTGAGGATTTTATATCCAGGCTCTGAAGACCTTCAGTTGCTTCTCCACAGACACTTCCTGGCTAGGAGCGAGGCCCTGGGGCTCGTGGCCAAGAATTAGTTAGCCCTTGGTGGGGCTCCTGGCCAGGTGAGAGAGACACTAGAGGGAGGTGGCCTGCTCTAAAGGGCGCCCAGAAAAGGGCCTTGAAGGGTCAGGGAGGGCCCCTGGAAGAAGGGGCAGTACCCTGGGGTCTGGAGAGCTGAGGAGTTCAAGAGGTGAAGAGTCTCAGGCATCTGTCCATCCGTATTCATTCAGTTGGTGAGGGTTCCGGTGAGCCAGGCCTTGTGCTGGGAGGTGGGTGGGAATCGGAAACTGAGTCAGAGCCAGGCTCTGCCCTCCAGGAGCTTCTAGTCTGCAGGGCAAGAAAGAACATCACCTGGTGACCTGGTCTCTCAGGAGTGCTCTGAGCATCATGCTCAGATTGCATCTTTGTGGGTACGAGAACCATCCTGTGGGCCACGCAGGGAGCCCTGGAGGAGGGCCTGTCTGGAGAGGGCCTTGACAGTCCACGATGACCAGGGCCGAGACCAGGAGGTGCCAGGCCCGGGGCTGAATGGGTCATGGACTTTTAAGAAACCCTGGCTGGGTGCTTGTAATCCTAACCCTCAGGAGGCTGAGTCAGGAGAGTTGCAAGTTCGAGCTCAACCTGAGGAACTTAGTGAGAACTTGTTTCAAAATTTTAAAAACTTTGAGGGCCAGGTATTTAGTTTAGTGGTTCTGCTGCCTGCTTCCCAAGTGCAAGGACCCAAGTTTGAACCCAGGTACCAAAAAAAATAAAAAATACAAAATTGTAAAGGCAGAGGGTGTAGCTTTGCGCTTTGCACTCCCTAGGTTCAATCCCCAGTCCTGCTGAACAAACAAACAAGGGCTGTCCCTGAACAAATGAGTGACTAACATCTGCAGGGAGCTGCCAATAGCTTTGCACTCCCTAGGTTCAATCCCCAGTCCTGCTGAACAAACAAACAAGGGCTGTCCCTGAACAAATGAGTGACTAACATCTGCAGGGAGCTGCCCAGGGTCCCACGGCAGAGGGCACCTCCTGATCCTGGGGGCTGGCGATTTTGAGGCCCAGGTTACCCATATGAATAGATACACAAGCCGAGCACCCAAGCTCCAGGGGTGGATTTGTTTATTCTGTGTCTCCTGGGGCTGCCGATGAGCCAGGACCGACCCGAGGCCCCAGAACCGGGCTTCAGGGAAGGGAGGCACCTATCCCCCTGGGCATCTGGTTGCTGCACCAGGTTGCTGGGGCAGAGAGGGTTTGGCCCAACCGCGGGTCCTGAGGAAGGAACTGTGGAGCTGCACCACGCATGTGCCAGGGTGATGAGGCGGGGCCCAGGGCTGGTCCTGAGTCGGAGCTCCAGCGGGAGACAGGTCTGCTCTGGGCATTAGGAAGGTCATGGTGGTGGGGATGTGTGTCTCCCCACCCAGACAGGCAGCTGAGGTCCTGCCCACCCCTAGGGCCACACCCTGCCCTGTGGCCCTGGTTTGTGGCCTCGGCTCTTGTGGCTGGTGCTGAGTTCAAGATGTCCTCAGATGTCCCAGGTCAGACCTTGGACAGCTCCCCCTCCTGCATCCTGGAGAGTCTCCTCTTTTATTTGGTTTTTGTCTTGGTGCTGGGGATGGAACGCAGGGCCTGCACACTCAGCTCCATTCTTAGCCCTTTTCCTATTCTTTTTTTTTTTGTTTGAGACAGGGTCTTGCTAAATTGCCCAGGCTGGGCTTGCATTGATATCCTCCTGCCTCAGCCTCCTGGAGGGCCAGGATTACAGGCGGGCAGTACCACTCCTGGCTCAGGGGCTTTCTTCTTAGTTGAGGGGTCTGATTGTCACCGCTGTAGTAGGGAGCTGTGGCATCACGTGGGTCTAGACCAGGGACACTGCCGAACTCCCTAGAGTACCTGGGGCCAGCTGGGCCCAGATGTCCGCACAGCTGAGACTGGGGACCCCCGGCCTAGCAGGGGGTCACCAGGAGCTTGCCAGAGCCAGCGAGGCTTCGCAGACCTGGGCCGCACAGGCCCGACTGCCTTTCGGTCTGTGCATCTTTCCGGACGTGGCTTTCTGGCCCTGTGTGGGTACACACGCGTGGTCTGATCACAGGCGACAGTGTGACTCTGTGCACCTGATTCTTCTCCCAGGCCCCGTGTTCAGGGAGGTGTGACAGAAGCCGTGCTGTACTATGTGGGGCTGGTCCCGCCCACTGGGTCAGGCTACACCCTCCTGGGGCTCGTTGGAGACCCTGTGGGCAGTGGCCGTGTTTGGGGGCGGCTCAGGGTGCTGGTGCTGCCGGGCTGGGGACTGTCGCTCGTGGCTGAGCGTGACAGCCTGCCCCTCAGACAGCTCTTTGCCCACTGACCTTCTGCGGGGCGTGTCTGGGTCTGTGGGTGTCACTGGGACAGTGCGCGTGTCCCTCTGAGCAGGGACACAGCTGTGTGTGTGACTGGGATTCTGGGGCTGTTTCCTGCCTGGGTGGCCCAGGCTGAGGGGCGCAGGCCCAGCCCCGCTCCAGGCTCCGGCCAGCCCACTGCAGCTGGCCCTGGCCTGTCCTGTCCTGAGGGGCTGCTGATGGAGAGGCCCCTGGGAGTCTTTGGGGCCGCACGGGCAATTAATTCATTAGATTAATTAGCTCCTCTTCCCCGGTGGGGGCAGGGCAGCCTGAGCAGGGCCTCCCGCTCCAGGTGCCCAAGGTCATCCGGCTGGCCGGCCTCCCTCCCTCTCCACAGCCTGCTCTGTCTCCTCCGCCCCCGCAGGCCCGCCCTGCCCCTGGCCCTGGGCCAGCCTGCCGCCACAGAGATGAGTGGTGGGGGTGCCGGGCCTGCGGCCGCCCTGGACCCAAGTGTGCTGTGGGGGAGGCGCACGGTGTGTCGGGCAGACGTGTTTGCAGAGGTGTGTGTGACTGCACCGTGTCTAAGGGTGTGCGATAGGAGTGTCTGTGTGCGTGTGTCCCTCGGTGTGTGTGTGAATTGGGCATGTTTCTTATGTACGCGTGTGTGTGCATGTGTGGGATTGTGAGTCTGCACATGAATGTCTCTGCACACTACCTCTGTGAACGTGTATGTGTCCTGTGCACACATGTAAATGTGCCTGCACACCTGAGTTTCTCCCATGTACACATTTCTCTGTGTGCTTCTGCTAGCTTACGGATGCACATGGATGTGCTGTGTGCGTCTACACAAGCCCCGTGTGCGTGTGAACGTGTCTGTGTGCGTCCCCGTGCCCTGGCTGGGTGCTGTCTCATGTCCCTTGCGTGCCCCCGGCCTGTGCGTCGTGCAGGCCCAGGGAAAGGCACAGGTGAGACGTGGCTGTTCTTTGTACATCTCTGAGCACATCGGTGAATGTGTGTGTGGCGGTGGGTGTGGAAGGTATCTGTGTCACCGAGGTGTGTGCATGTGTGCACACGTGTGGGCCCGCGTGTGCAGGCTCTGCCATGCTCGCCCTGCCCTCCCCTCGCCAGGCCTGAGTCCCCTCCCTCTCCCAGGGCTGCTGTCACAGAGCCTGGAGTTCAGCTCCCCCGCCGACAACTACACCGTGTGCGAAGGTGACAACGCCACCCTCAGGTAGGGACGCCAGTCAGCAGCTCACACTCGGCAGAGCCCAGCAGTGCCGGCCTTGGGCGGGGGTGGCCTGGGAGGCTATGTGTGACACACCCGGGCCTCCGTGTGCCCATCGGTCACAGCAGTGGGGATGACAACTACACCGTGTGCGAAGGTGACAACGCCACCCTCAGGTAGGGATGCCAGTCAGCAGCTCACACTCGGCAGAGCCCAGCAGTGCCGGCCTTGGGCGGGGGCTGGCCTGGGAGGCTATGTGTGACACACCCGGGCCTCCGTGTGCCCATCGGTCACAGCAGTGGGGACAGGACTGCCCCGGGGGGTGTTTAGGGGTCCCGGAGTTCCAGCGCGCTGCTCAGAGAGCTCGCCTATGGGGCCTGCTCACAAAGGGGTCAGCCCGGAGCTATGAGCCGCCCCGCCTCTCTTCCACGGAGACTCAGTTTACCCACAGCAGTCTGGCGACCCTCACCCCAACCCCCCTTCCCGCAGCTGCTTCATCGACGAGCACGTGACCCGCGTGGCCTGGCTGAACCGCTCCAACATCCTGTACGCTGGCAACGACCGCTGGACCAGCGACGCCCGCGTGCGGCTGCTCATCAACACGCCCGAGGAGTTCTCCATCCTCATCACGCAGGTGGGGCTGGGCGACGAGGGCCTCTACACCTGCTCCTTCCAGACCCGCCACCAGCCCTACACCACTCAGGTCTACCTCATCGTCCACGGTGAGCCAGGGCGACGGGCTGCGCCCTGCGGACCCCCCAGGCCCAGGCCCAGGACAGGTCCAGGGGAAGCCGCAGCAGAGGGATACTTCAGGGACGGTCTCCAGGGCGCCCCTCCCCTCTGGAGCCGGCTTCCCAGCCTCCGGCCCTGCTCTGGGGACTTGGGCTGTGAACAGAGCTGGTGGAAACATTCCCACCCCCCACCCCCAAGAAACCAGGAAGGACAGGGAAGAGAGAGGAGGAGAGGGACTCAGCAGGAGAGATGGGCTGCAAGGACCCACAGAGGGCTGGGCTTGGGGGGCTCGGAAGCCACTTCCTGGGGGAGCAGAAGTGGCCTGGGGTGCAGGGGCCACCCAGAGAGACTGAGCAGACACGGAGGGTGCCCATGAGGTCACCTGAGCTCCAGCTCAGGAGCCCCACCGCCCGTTCCAGCCTCAGTGATGGCCCTCACCAGCCAGGGACCCTGAGCAAGCAGAGCCCTCGGGCCCCCTGGCCTGCAGCAGGAATGGTGCTGCCTCTCACTGAGTGCAGGGCAGGACAGTTGGAGGGGCCGCCTGTATTCCATGCTCTGCTAGAAGAGGAAGAGAAATCTCTGCCAGTTAAACTGACACCCCACATCACAAGCCACCCGGAGTGACACGCTCAAGTGGGAAAGGGGGAAAAAATCCGAGTCATGTCTTAGGCTTGGAGAAATATAGCAACACCCAGCCCAGGACAGGGAAGGGACTAATGAATGGATTTTTATAGAGCACTTAGAACAGAGTCTGCTCCACAGGAAATACCATATGGGTATTTGCTAAGTACATTAATTTTTAGAGTAATCACAAATCAAAAGACAGACAGGGAGAGAAGAATTAAGACCAGACGATAGAGAAATCAAGTGAGGTTGAAGTGGAGAAAAGACACAGAGTTCAGTATGGCCAGAAATTAGGCAAGGAATGAGGCTGAGGCTGGGGAGAAAAGGGCAAAGAGAGAAGAGACAGACGGGGGATTGTAAGAAGGACAGACTGTCAGCCCACATCTGTTCTGAGGGAGGAGGCCGGGCCTAGGGCCCGGGTCTGAGGGAGGAGGGAGGAGGCCGGGCTCAGATCCGCAGGTCTGAGGGAGGAGGCCGGGCTCGGACCCCGGGAGTACACACCCAGCCTGTCACTGCCTTGGTCCCTGCCCACAGTCCCTGCCCGCATTGTGAACATCAGGAGAGGAGACTGGCCGTGGACCCCGGGTCTGAGGGATGAGGGAGGAGGCTGGGCCTGGACCCCAGGTCTGAGGGAGGAGGGAGGAGGCCGGGCCTGGACCCCGGGTCTGAGGGAGGAGGGAGGAGGCCGGGCCTGGAACCCTGGTCTGAGGGAGGAGGGAGGAGGCTGGGCCTAGGGCCCCGGTCTGAGGGAGGAGGGAGGAGGCTGGGCTCAGATCCCCGGGTCTGAGGGAGGAGGCCGGGCTCAGATCCCCGGGTCTGAGGGAGGAGGCCGGGCCTGGACCCCGGCAGTACACACCCAGCCTGTCACTGCCTTGGTCCCTGCCCACAGTCCCTGCCCGCATTGTGAACATCTCGTCGCCTGTGACAGTGAATGAGGGAGGCAGTGTGAACCTGCTTTGTCTGGCCGTGGGGCGGCCAGAGCCGACGGTCACCTGGAGGCAGCTCCGAGGTGAGGACCCCAGCCCAGACAGAAAGCCCTTTTCCTACTCTGCAGTCTGGGCCCTCCGCTCCCCTGTGCTGAGCTGGGTTCCCAGAACCCCCGTCCTCACTGTGCTGTGCACCTCCATTCCCAGTGACCTCATCACCAGACCCCAGACACTTAGAGCCTTCACCACTGGCTTCCACTAGCCCTTCAGACCTGGGCCGGGCTTTCCAAATCCCCTGTGGAGACGCCCCCTTCCCGATGCTCCCCACCCTCACCAATTCTGTACTTGGGTTTCCACCACTACACACCCAAGTCCAGCTGCAGCCCAGGTTCTGGCCACAGTGCCCCTCCCATTCACAAGCCCACCTCTCCTGCTGGGTGCTGGAGCCCAGCGGATCCAACCTGTGGCCCCCAGGTGCCACCATTGGCCTCCCCTGGGAACTCACCCACATTCTCAGGCCCCGGCCAGGCCCAGGCCAATTGGGAGCTCCTCCACCCCTCACAGGTCCCCCAACATGGCCACGGCTGCCTGAATGTGACATCCCCTCCAGCCCCCTACCTGACCTCCTCCACCAGACCCCAAATCTCTGATTCCAACTCCCTGCATCTGGGGAGACCCAGAGCTCCAAACACCAGGTCCCAGTGAATACTTGAGCCCCTGCCACACCAGGACCCAGTTACCAGGCCACAGACCCTTGGATTCTGCAGCACTGTGTCTTCTGAGCCCTACGAGCCTGGTCTTGAGATCCTGAATCTCTAGGCCCCCTGCATTCCAGAGGATCTTCCACAAGATCCCAGCTATCTGAGTTATGGATCCCATCCCCAGATCCTAGTTCTCTGGACCCTAAGAGTTTGACACCAAAACTCTGGACTCTTCCCCCGTGGGCCTTTATTGCCAACATCCTTCTGAGATCCAAGATTCAGAGATTCTCCTCCCGTGGGGTCCCCTGAGCACCATGACCAGAGATCCCACATCCCTGGATCTCCTGAACCCCCAAATTCCAGGACCCCTCCCTCGGGGTTGCAGTTCCTGAGCCCCGTTCCTCAATCCCATCCCATCCTGCAGCCCCCTGCGGCTTCCGCTGACCGGGCACTCCAGGCCCCGCAGCGCCGCCCCGCTGATGTGTGTCCCGTTGTGCTGCCCGTGTTGTCCCGTGTTAAGTGTTTGTGTCCGGCCCCGCTCCCCCCTCCGCCCTCCCCCACAGACGGCTTCACCTCGGAGGGCGAGATCCTTGAGATTTCCGACATCCAGCGGGGCCAGGCGGGG